TAAAGGTCAGTGCAGTTATGCTCTTCTGACATACGTCCATTTCGATGTACTACCTGTTTGTCGGAATGGAACCCAATCGTAAGTCGCAGACAGTCTGTTTTTTTTTCTTCATTAATTTCCCACCATATCTGACATCATCAATTTTTCAAAAAAGAAAAAGATCTCAATAAAAAAAATGGTAATGAAATGAATAATGCTAATTTTTAATTATTCAATAATTACTTCATTGGCAAAAATCCAAAAATTGTAACAGATATGCCTAAACTATTATTAATCAAACAAAACAACCTGTTGATTTACTTTTGATCAACCAGTCCTTTGGTTCCATAACTGTTCAACATTAGAATGACTGAAATGGAACTATTAATTATAGGGCTGCCACTAACGACTATTTTTCTTTTGATTAATCTATCGACTATTGTATCAATTGGTCGATGTATATCTAAACGATTAATTTTCCTCCAGATAATCAATTTGACAGTTTAATTTAAGTTAATTTCATTTTGACAACAACAAACTGTATGCCCTTACAGGGTTTCCGATAATGGCCGTCGGCTATTTGGCACTTTATGAACATTATTTTCATCCACAATTCAATAAGCAGATTAGTAGTATGCCTAAAAATATGAATGAGGTGCATTTTGGGATACCCAACAGTTAGTAATTCGTATAAATTTTGCATATCCTCATGCTTAATAAATGCGGTTAGCAGGGCATCCAAGTGATAAGCACTTTAGTCGTGATGAAGGAAGGGACAGATCAGCAGCCACAACATCTTTTAAAAGAGAAGATACTCTGGTTATGTAAAAAGATGTTCATGGTGTGGCGGTACTTTTGCAGATTAAAGTGCGACACTTTTTTTTGTGAATATGATTTTCATTTGTATTTCAGTTCAGGAAATTGCCTTTTATTTAGTATCTGTTTTCCTTTCAGATTTTGTCCCAAGAAGTCCGATGCACACGCATTCACACACTGGCACTGTCAGTCAACGTGGAATAAGCCCGGATTTTAGCCTAAGAAATTCTTATGTAGCAGGCAGACAACTTTATGGCTTTAATAATGAGTGTTTTTAGCAGCTACAAGGACAAAAGATATTAAAAAGCTCTCTGTACTAATGGTAATTTAATAAACATGAATAGCCAGCATGGTGGTTTGCCGGTCTAGAATAGCGCCGGTGTGATATCATCGACTACGACGACTAATCGCAGCAGTCTTAATTAATTATAATTTGATTGATCAGGAATTCACTAGGACCAAGAGCCAGCATGAAAAATAGATCACGAGCAGAACCAAAAAATTCTGCCTCTTAATAATTCTCACCTGTGGTACAAGGTATCAGTCATGTGGTACTTACACAATGGAGGCCATTTTCCTTGATTTTAACTACAACAGGCTTCTCCTCCCCCTGTGAGCCGTCAGTCTCCACCACAGGCAGGTCCACCTCAATCTTGGCCTCTGTTTTCTTCTTGAAAAGCTTGTTGAACAATGGCACCTTCTCCTCTGTGTCCTGCTTGGGCTCCACCTCCTTATCTGCAGCAGGTGGAGGCTGGACACTGACCTCTTCCTCTTTCAGCACCGGCTGATGTGTTGGATTCCCTGGAGCTTCAGCAGGAGGTGACACCGATTTGAAAAGCGAGAATGTGGCCTGTCGAGGGGTACCTTTGGTCCGCTTACGGTCACTGTCCTGCTCTGGGGCCTTTGTGGGAGACACCTCCTTTTCGAGGAAGGAAAAGACAAAGGAAAAGAATGTAACAGTCTTGATAAAACAACAAAATATATTTTGTTAGCATGAATTTTTAATGATTTCGGTATTAAAAACGATGCAAAATAATGAATATTAAGAGGTTGATTATATCACCAAAGCAGAAATGAGCACAGAGGGAAGCGCAAAATCGCCTTTAGGGATGAGCAGTATAAAGGATATACTGACCTATTGTCATTTTCAACTATATGAAAATGAGAAACGTCGACAATTTGTCAATAAGGATCCATTCTTAATAGCGCACATCAACCAAAAAAAAAAAAAAAAACCCACAAACTAATGCAATCTTAAAGAATCATATTATCTGGGAATGACATAAATGGTAAGCAAGTACGCATTTGTCATATGAAGGTTAAAATTCACTGTAATTTCTTGGCTTAACACCACAAACACATACTTATTATAGCACATTTTATCTTGTATATGGTGAATACGACTTGCGTACCAGTTATATCAATTCCTACATCTGGTAGTCTTACGAATGGACTATTACCATCAAACCCACTGCCAGGTTGACTTAACAGAATGCACCACATGCTACTGTTTTGGCAACATCATGTAAGAGATGAGTGATCCCTTAGAGGAAACCTCAAGTGTCGGTGAAAGCAGCGACAATTCAGCAGCCACAACATCTTTTTTAAAAGGTGGTATTATGGATAAACGAGGTAAACAGATGTTGGTGGTACCAAACTAATGCTGTGTACTGTAAACTCGACAACAGACCTCCTCCCTCCTCGGCTCCAGTTGCTGCGTTGGATTCCCTGGGCCGTCAGAGGGGCGGACACCACCAGCCTGCTTTTGGCTGCCTGCCGGCTTGCCAGCTTCTGAGGGCACTTTCTCCTGTTCGGAGGGTCGCGAGGTTGACTGACTGATCAACTGAGCATCTGTTTAACAGCCCATATATGGAAAGAGAACAACAGGAAATGGTTAACAACCCCTGTGCTGGGAACAGTATTGCGTAAACATGTGCCTAACCTGCTGTCTTCTGCGTGTGTTCAGTGATGTACTACATGCCAAGCCCCTGTTCCACTTGGATTACCCATTAAAATGTCATTCTCTATATTTATTAACACTGGAGTGCGGATCACAGGGTTCGGGTCTGTGCCAGTGTCTGGGAGGTTGTGGGTTCAAGTGCTGGATTAATGTTGCTGCTAACTTTGAAAACTGTTAGCAGAGCAAGCCACATGCTGGAGACTGCGGGAGGAGCTGGTCAGCTGGGAACGGAAGCGTCCGGCGCCTGCTAGCAGCCCAGCATCCACCCGCTTCCCAGGCTCCATTGCCTCGCCAGGCCTCGCGAGTGGATGGCTCCCCCTCATCATTGAAGTTCCCACACCGGCAGCTGCCGGTGGACCTTAAGGACTTAAAACTGAGGGACTAGGTGTGGTGGTTCCTGGGATTGTTGACCTTTGGGGGGGGGGACACTATAATGCCTGCGAGATGGCTCTGAGTAGCGGCAGCCTATCAGCATCACTCACACGCCTTGTATATAGCTCCTGTGTATGTCTTGTTGTAAATAGATGCTTTGTGGACCTGATTGTTTCGGGTGCCCTACCTTGGTTTGTACTCAGTCCTTGCCTGATCCTCCCGTGTCTTTAGCCACTGTGTAAATATCCCACTGTGTGTGTAGCTTACTGTCTCTCTCTTTCCTTCCTGCCACTGTGATGCCCGGGATATTACAACATAATACTACACATTAACCAATGATTCTGGTGCTATAGATACTTATGCTGAAAACATCCATGAAGGTAAACTGGAAAAGTGAAAATTTTAGGTACATGGTGTGTGCTTGGTATGGACAGTCACACACTCCTATGATCCATCATTGTATTTCTGGCAAACAGGGGCAAATGCAGGGATGGGGCCACAGGGGAACTCGCCCTAGCTGAAAGCTGATTGGCCCCTGGAGTGCCCCCCCCCCCCCCTATGAATTATGGCCCCTCTTATTCCTTCCAACTTCAAAAATCCCAATGGCAAGGGTATTTAAACCTCACTGGACAGATAGCAGCAATGATCCTCCATAAATATTAGGACTGGCCTAAATGTGACATGATGCTCAACCCCTGTTAGTACCAGAGAAACCTGCCAACATCAACACCATCCTCCCTACAATGTCCTCAAGAGCTTGGCCTGTAAATCCTCACACATGACTGTTTTGGAACTTTATAGCAACAGTATTTGTATAAAGCCAAACTCAAACAATGTTACACCCTGAATTTACACAGCATATCACTAGATATTTCTGACAGGCTGCTGTGCCTGTCAAGGCCAAACAGACTACACCCGTTTTAATCTCATAATCACATTCCACTAACAGGAATTCAGTTAAACAATATTTTCTAAAACATAATTTGAAAGTAAAAAATATGAGCACCAAACAGTTATGTATCTAAAATGTTGAATTGTAATCTTGTCATACATCACCATTCCTGGCATTTCCTGATAAAATCATATCAGCGGTCTCATCACCAATGTCATAAACTTGCAATATTTCACTGCAAATATTTTTTAAAGCTTGAACACCATTAGCAAATAAATGTATGAATTTATATATGGGGTTTTGTATGCAGAACATGATGTTGGTAAAATTGGTCTTATAGTTTTTAAGCAAAGAAACTTTTTCTTAATATTTTTGTGTAGAGTACTACGCTGTTTCTGCAATACTAATTCTGGAACGGGTGTTTATTTGCTTTTTTTCTACTAACTCTGTGCTTCGTCTATCTAAAACACTAGAAAATAACTCAATCCATAGAATTAGGACAACTTTCAAAGTTCAGTGGTACTTTAAATGTTCAGTCAATCGATGTATAGTATTGTGTTGGAGATCATACTGGATTTGTTTGAAGTGCTATAATAGAATGTTTGTAACTTAAAAACAAGACCAAAGATATATATCTTTCATAATAGGAGGATTAATACGCAGGCAGTTAACTAATTTTACTGCCAGCAACAGATTAGCGGATTATTGGCATTGCATCATTTTTAATTTTCTCTCTATTCTCTGGCTCAAAAATTAGCTCAAGTGCCCTGCTTGATTCATATTAGCCCAGGGCCCTCAGAGAGTTAATGGGCCCCAGTAAATGACAGCCACTGACAGTTGTCACCTGTGGCTTCCAGTACATACCCACAATCCTGATGACGTGGCCGTTTGCCTCTCCATTCTGCAGCTTCCCGTTAGCCTGAAAAAATGGGGATCATCAACTCTTTGACCCAAAGTAACCATGTTTGCAGGACATGTTTCTCTTCCACTTCCCAAGCCCTCAAATATTTCAGAGGAATATGACAGATTTGAGGCCAACGGTAGCAGGTTTTAGGGTCAGGGTTTTGCAAACATGAAAAAGAAAAGCCAGAATTTAGTATGAAACAGTGGTTAACAAATGAAGTCTAAGCTGTCAAAGTGACCCTGGCTATATCTAATCTAATAATTAATAACATTATGAAGCAAAAATCTATTTACAGCACAGGCATGATGGATGTCTTCATACTGACAATGTATATGGAGACATGGAGAAAAACATCTCATAACACGAGCACTGAATAAACCTCCAAATCACCTCAAATCCCAATATAAAGGAAAGACAAAGTACTTTAACATCGCTGAACATATTTCATAAGGGGCTTTTAGCATTAGGCAAGGAAACAATCAAACACGTTAGTTGGAAAGGCTGCGTAGCCAATATGCTGAGATACGAGCATCAGCAAAACTGAATGTCGAGACATAAATCAACAGTTTTCCTCAAAGACTGGAATCTGTTAGTAAAATCTATTCCCTGAACATTATTTAAGCAGTTCAACTGTGTGTTCAAGTGGTTGTTTGAACTATATCTAAAATGATAGTGACAATGAAAATATTAGCTTGAAATATTTTGTGATAAAATACTAATGTTGTCAGTGTCTTTTTCAGTTCTAGTGCATGATCTCTTAACTTAATAAAAATATTTATTGTTAAAGTTATAAAGTTATATCTTGTATCTTTACATTTAACCCAATACATTGCTATCTATCTATCTATCTATCTATCTATCTATCTATCTATCTATCTAAACAACATCACATGGCACCATTAAATTTATGTTTAATGTGCAGCACCTCTGAGTTAAAACGTATCAAATAAACAACTATAAAATTAACAATATCATCAATAATGCCAGGTATTACAAAAAGCACAGATTTTTTTATTCCAAACGTACTTTTTTTGTCTTTATCAGTGCCTACTGCCCTAAGCTAACAGCCAATAGCATCCCTACCTGAGGGTGTTCCGTAAATTCATAAACTGAATTCTCATTTCCCATCTTGAGTGAAGCTTGGTTCAGTGGAGACCTGAATCTGAAGTACAATGACAATGGAAATGGGTTTGGAAAGGAGTTTCTTAAAAATGTCCAACTACTAATTATTTTTTTAGTTTGACTATGATCAAATGAGTAAAAACACTTGGAATACCTTGAAGTCTAATCACAAATGAATTATTTTTTATTAATTTCCTCATGAGCAATGTGAGGTCATTGGCACCTGACCATTAAGAAGCCCCATGAGGCATAAATCAGTGTTTCCCAACCCAGTCCTCGGGGAACCCCAGACAGTCCACGTTTTTGCTTTCTCTCAGCTCCCAACCAATCAGGAACTCCGTATACCTGGTTCAGGTTGGGAGCTGAGAGGAAGCAAGAACATGGACTGTCTGGAGTTCCCCGAGGACTGGGTTGGGTAACACTTGCATAAAGGAGCTGCTGTAAACAGCACTACTCAAAGTAATGGAACTCATAGTAACGCTACTCATAGTAACACTACTCATAGAAAGCGCATAGGCAGCTAACAGTGGAGCAAAGCAGCACCAAGCATAAGAACATAAGAGGCCATTCAGCCCATCAAGCTCGTTTGGGGAAAACTTAACTAATAGCTCAGAGTTGATCAAATCTTATCTAGCTCTGATTTAAAGGAACCCAGGGTTTTAGTTTGCACTACACTGGCAGGAAGACTATTCCATACTCTAACTACACGCTGTGTAAAGAAGTGCTTCCTCAAATTCATTTTAAAATGTTCCCCCGAAAGCAGCTCGAAATTCGCCGAAATTATCCAGTAAATGGACCAACCTGCCCCTGTCACAGCTACACTATCACGGGGCACTTTGAAGTGCATGGTGACAGATAACAGCACAGTGAAGTGCCAGCTATTTGTCAGTGGCTGAGAATCCATGCCTTTACAGAATACCAATGCCTTACCTACAACTGTAGAATCCTCCTGGGCTGAATGTGCTGTTATCCAAGGATTATAATTATATGCAGAATTCCAGTATTCAAGTCAAGAGCAACCTGTCTACGTTTTCTCAAGAAATGAATGCAGCAGCCAGCCCTGCAGCGTGTGCATATGTATGTGTGCACGGGAGGAGCTACCAGTGTTTAATCAACGGGCTATGATTTAATCTTGAGATGACAATAATGTTGCACAGGTCAAGTCGGCATGTAACACTGAGCTCATCGACCATGTGGTAACATTACTATATAGGTGTGTGTGTATGTGCGTGTGTGTGTGTGAGGGTCATGTATATATTACCAAATGTTTCCACAATGTGATTCAAACCGGTTGTTTTTCCATCCCCACAAGGGGAAAATCAATTTTATAAAAATCAAGAAACCAAAAATGCCAAAAGTTTCACATTTTGTTTGGTTGATTATGGTTAAGGTTAGGGCTGGGTAGGGGTTAAGGTTTCATTGCTGGGATTAGGGTTTTGCCCATAGAATGAATGGATGGTCCCCACAAAAATATGATAGTGTGTGTGTGTGTGTGTGAGAGAGAGAGAGAGAGAGAGAGAGAGAGACAGAGAGAATTAGAAAGCAAACATTGGTATATTTTCTTGGCCATTGAAACATCCTCTTGGAGGACAAGTGACACATCAACCTTGCTAAGGTGTGGCTGCACAGAAGCAGGATGTAAGTTGAGGATATCCACTGACCTGACAAACCACTGAAAACAACTGTATTTGCTAAGAACTCTTTCCATCAGAGAAGGACTCACAGTGTATACATTGGGATACCTAGGGTGCTCTGTAAACCACAGCTATGAGAGAGACACCCTAGGTGTGTCAGGAAATGAGAAATAGCATAAATCACATTACAGAGTCTCTGTCTTGCACTGTTTTAATTTCACCATCTGGAAGAACGACATAAAGGAGGAGTGAAGAGAGAAGATACAAGAAACACGAGATACGAGCATCACTGTGAGGTATCATATGAGAAGCTGCCATAAATGTGTCCGTCATCCTCCAAACCAGCACTGTACATACATTTTATGCATTTGAGTTAGCTAAACTTTTTGCGTGTCATCAGCTGTTTTTGAAAACTCTCTATAACTACCAAATATTTCTCATTTAATTTCTTATGTGAACCCACAATATATCAAAACCACAATGGGGAACATCACAATGCAGATGGGATGACTGTATTAGATATAACATAAGTAGAGCTTCAATTTTGTGGAGATATTTTTTCACCTATATTTCAGTCCTCCATCAACAAACACTGGATTTCCAAGTTTGGCAGTTATCTTAGCTGAATTGCCAGTGAATATTATAACTTTGGTAACAGTGCTTATGCCCACTGACTTTTTGGCATATTTAGATGTACCAGGCAATACAGCAAAAAGTCAGTTCTTGACATGAAGACAGTTTGCTATGAGCGAGTTTTCACTTTCACACATGCTCACAAAGAACAAGAAGCTGTTTTTTTCTATACCTTATAAGGAGTCCCAAATGAATAAGTCAACTAGTATGGATTATGAACAGTGTGTACCTCCAGGGGCACAATAAGCTGATTTTGGGGGCGGTGCATGGCTTACTGGGTTAGCAGGCTGTGCCAGTCATCAGAAGGTTACTAGTTCAAATCTCCAGGTCAGCAGAGTAATTTCACTGCTGGGCCCTTGAGAAAGGCCCTCAACACCCCCATCCTGACCTTCAAAACAAAAAAAGGGAAATGTTGCTTTGGATAAAAGCTTCTCCTAAAAAATAAAATTAAATCTGTAAGGGAAAACTGCTAAAACTTGCCTTAGCAGCTTAGAAGATCTTATATCACAAGGGGAAAAAAAAGGATTTGTTATACGTACATTACATTAGCTGGTGGGAAATGGAACAAACACACGGGGTAGTTCTGTGACTTCATGGTGATTAATCTCCAGTCCTGTGCTATGAGTTGACTCAGCTATTGAAGCCCATCTGGCACTTATTAGACTAATTATCCAGTTAGGATAAACAGAGCGAGGTACTAGTTGACACATCACCGCATCAGTGGACTGAAGAGACTATTCATTTTTATTTTCCATCCCGTCTATCCTGTGTTTTAAACTGCCACGTTTTCCTTTAAATGGGGCCAAAGATCTGTTTCATGTTGTTTTGCCAGGAAAGTCTGGTGGTTTTTGGAAGCAAAAAAGTTTGTTTAAAGATGCTTAAAAAGTGTTCAGATAAAATACATATTGCTTACCTGACAAGCAATACATTTTTGTAGCACGTCGTCACATTTACTGAATGATCCTTGAAGGTGTGAGATGGTCCTTTTCATTACATGCCTATGAGTCAAATTTAAAGAAGAATTTATAGTAGGAAAAAAAACTTAAATCATTATTAAATAATATAGCTTGTATTTTGCAAGTAACTTAGATTTTAAAAAATAATTCAGAGTTTAAATACCAAAACTTGCAGTTTTATTAAATGTCACCGATTGCTAATGTTGGCTTTCACGTTTGAGGTCAAAATAAAACCGACGATTCCAGAGCATGTGAAAAACTATGTAGATGTGAAAGAGAGAATCAGTGCTTTGGCTATTACTTTAGTATTCTATTCCGAGGCCATTCCGAGATGGAGAGCCTGATCACGGCACACTGAGGTGAGCATGGTGTTGTGGCCTAACCCTAACCTCCTCAGCAGTCCTGAGTCAGTGTATTTGTGTGTGGAATGCCGTGAGGCCAAGCCCTATCGTGACATGGAAATGCTGGAAATTCTTGCCTGACTGATACAATGTAACATTACAACTGCGCTCAGTGGGGGTGGAGGTAGCCCTGTGGCGTGCGTGGTTGCCCACTGAACTCCATTGTTGGCAAAAGGAGCAGAAGCAATGTTGGAGAACACAGAACCCATTAAAACAACGTAAATCAGAAAAAAATCCTTTACACAGAAAATAGTTTCCCCATATAATTAAATTTCAGATTATAAATACACTCTTGTGGCCAAATATTCCATAATTCAGGCAACAAGTGACGCAGTGCAAGAACTGTCAGATCCTGGATGTATAGAACTATCTATGAATCTTATTGTGCACATTAATACAGTGTGAACTCTGCAACTTATTAAAAAGGAAAAATTGCACTACGCTTAACCTAAAAGTTTTGGGGTATTTTTAAATAATGCACACAATTAATAAATCCTGCTATAAGAGTTCATCAAAAAGGCAACATCTGCTTATATTTGCTGTGGGCGTTGCCGGTGTTTGTGCAATGAAACCTGAAGCTTTTTCTCTGACCTACTATGTTTGGTTATTCACCTGTGTACGGATTAACTTCCATGTCTGTCACAACTCACACATTTCTTACAACATGGGTGAAAAAAAAATGATTATGAGTAATACCATGTGAAACTGACTCCTTTTCAATCTCGCGCTGACTTTTAATAACAGACAGCCTGAGAATAATTGCCGTCAAAAGACTTTTGTCTTCTCACTATTCTTGGCAGCTGAGGCAGCCTCCGTTAAAATCTTGTCCTGAAACAAGAAAAAGCAAAATACGTAGAAGAACTGTAAATTCAGCCCAGAGGAATAGAATTATTTGCGATGATTTGTCAGTGTGACAGCAGCATCTTTACTTGAACGGAGCTCAACAGCGGTACAGTATTTATGTTTGCAGCCCTGGCAAGCTGGTGAGACACATCCTGTCCCCGGTGGGAAAAAAAATAGAGTTCTCTTTGCTGATCGCTGCAGATATGAGAATGAACTTCCTTGGCTGGTACGCCAACAAGCCAACTTCAGGATGGCCGTATGCCGACCATCATTGTTTAATTCACCCATTTCAAGAACCTCCGGTGCTATTTTCAATATACAGTAGGGCTAGCGGAGCAGAGTGGCGCCACGTGAAATGATTACGGCTGTCAGCTTGGCTTCCTCATCACCCCGTGGATGAGCTCCACTATTTACTCAGAGGAGCTGAACTGGGAGTGGTAGAACTTTGGTCTTTAATAAGCTAAGGAGAGACCAAAACTATAAGCTAGGGAATAAAAATGACTGGGAATTTTCATCCCTCGTCTGAACTTTATCCGTCTTTGAGCTGCTTATCCTGAGTGTGGTTGGGGGGGGGATACTGAGGCTAGGAGGCCGGTCTACTGCAGAGAATACATAAACACACACTCACTCACTCACTCACTCACACACACACACTCACCCACTCACACACACACAGGTTTGTAAATATATCTTTGTGGGGACTCTCCATTCATTTCTATGGGGAAAACCCTAATCCAAATATGACGACCTTAACCACTATCTAGCTGTAACCTTAACCATAAGTAAGCAAAGAAAATATGGGACTTTTGGCATTTTTAATTTTTTTATTGTATTCATAGATCATTGTGGGGACCTAAAAAATGCTCCCAAAAACGTCAAAATAAGTTTTTAATCACATTGTGGGCACATTTGGTTCCCACCATGTAGTATAGACCTAATCCACCCCCCTCCAGACACACACACATTATGCAGTTGCACACCCATGGGCAGTAGATTGGCCAAGCAACCTTTGTTGGCCTTTTAACCTTTGGGTGTATAAACTGTCAGTAATCCACATCTAATGGTTCTTATAAACACCTCATTCGTGTAAAAAAAAAATTGTAATAGATTTAATTATGCAATATTAATAAATCATTTCCAGATATACTTAATTACTTCAAATGAAAAAAAACTATATTAAGACCTTGTCTATTAATTTTAACTGCATAATGAAGGAGTTAACATTTTTGCATGGATTTACTAAAGATTTATTTCTTTGAAATGTTTTAGGATGAATTACATAACTTTTTTTCTAAAGTGGAACCACTTCTAAACAGATTAAATCGATTTAAAAAAAAAAAAAAAAAAAAAAACGTACTGATAGTTTTGTCTGTCTAATCTGGAGAGGATCACAAACCAGAGCGCTAAGCCGGTCCATCAAAGGTTTTCAAACATATTAACCAAATCGGGAGAAGAAAAAAACAAACAGAAATTTTACTACCTCTGGCCTCATTTTTTTCGTGTTTCACCGGATTCCTTCAGAAGAAACGTAGCTTATCTATCAACTGAAAGTTGTCAGATCAAAGAGA